CCGCCGCGCTCCAACTACTACATTATAATAGTAGTATATATATATATATTTCGAAACGAAACACCTTCCGCCGCATCTTCGAAGCCAGGAACTCGAACGACGTGAGCGGCAAAAAAGCCAGAGGCTGCTAGCATTGCAATCCTTGGATTCACAATCTCTGGGTCTTTTCCAAGGTTAGCTAACTTTTAGGCTTCAATGGTGTTGTGCTTAAACACCACTAAGCTCAACGAAAGAAAGCACATACTGGACAGGTGGGATTCCTACCATGCTTGAGCTCTGCCTCTCGAAGGCGACGAAACCATCGCTCATCTTCACTAATCTCCAGGCTACTTGGCTCAAACTCGGTGTTGACGCCAAATCCAAGTCCAACTCTCCCACGATCCTGAGAGAAGCCAATGCGTGGCACAATTCTTCGAAGCGGTTTCCACACCTTGGGGCTTCCCGCAATAGATAGTACGGGAACAAGGGACTACGTTGGGGTTATATAGAGATAATGGAAAAGAAAGTAGAGACTACTACATTATAATAGGATACATAATGGGGTATTCCCTAAACCCTAGACCCTTAATAGTTTCCATACTATTTTCCATCATCCCAATCTAACCTGAATGGATTGTCTTGGAGTCAATTTTTGGCGAGCCGGAAACCCTACAGATAACATAGAAACTGCTATAATATAATAGGGTTATGTAGGGATTATGTAAGGCTATATTGGGGCAATGGAAAAGAAAATGGAAACTACAAGAATATACCAGGACTATATAGAGTTTATATACGGATATATTGGGGTAATGGAAAAGAAAATGGAAACTACTGTAATATAATAGGCATAGATAGGGCTTATATAGGGATATATTGGGATAATGGAAAATGAGATGGAAACTACTATAATATAGTAGGGTTATATGGGGTTAGTATTCCTGCATGACCAGTCTGGTTTTCCATGTGAGTCCTAGTCTGTAAAACTCCTGGTATCCCCTTTAATGACCCCTATGATAGTCCCTATAACACCAATATGATCTTGGGGATTCTTGTGCAACAACTACCACCTAGACAAAGAACGGTAATTTTGACCGCTGCTCATATCATCCCCATGTCACCCCTGGACAAAAAGCGGCCACCTCCCCTGTGGTGAAGCGCAGCGGATCAAATATGCCGAAACTTTGCTGGACACCAATCTGTCTGGAAACCTGTCTAGGGCTTTTTCGTTTTTAGGATGTAGGGTTTAGTTTAGGATTTAGGGCCAACCGCCTCAGACCCTCAAGGAAGTTTATCAAACCTTTAGGGAGCCTGAAAAAAGTGCGCATCAAGGCAAAAATAGTGGAATCTGTGTAACTTGTACGGGGGATTATTGGGTGGATCTGAAGCACGATTGGTTTTCGGGGTACTTTCGAGAATCTCCCGCATCAAAGGCATCAGAAGAGTTTGTAGGAGCTGGCGCATCCTTGGTGAAGAGCTCCTTATTTGAAGCAGCACGCCGCGTTCTGGCGCCCCTGTTCTTCCTGAATTTGCTCGGAAACATCTGGCAGAATTTGTAAAGAAGAATTGCAGTAGGTGGCGTTACCCATCTCAAGTGATTTGTCTTCGCGCGCGAAGAAGGATGGTCTTGGGAGCAGCAAACTACCTGCCCTCTTGGCCCATTGAAAGGGGCAAACAACATTGCGCGAGACAAAGCTTTGCAAGCTGCTTGTCAACAATGTTTGTGGTCTATAGCCCCCCTTAAACTGATAGAATAGGGGGGTATATGGGGATCTCATTATAATCTACCCAAAACCATATTCCATCTAGTTAAGGGGGACTATATACACGTGCGCATTTTGCCGTTTTGCAAAGTCACACTCTCTTGCAGTAAACTTCTATGTCCATGACACATGCCAAACATTCAGAGCCAGTTGTTCCTGTTCACACCGCAGCTGCACCCTGTGAAGGTATAATACAGCATTCAACAGATTCTGTGGACTTCTGTGCTGTGAGCCTGTAAATGCTGATCAGCTGAGTCTCTGATGAAACCCGAGAAGTTGGGGTACGTGATGGGCACATGGCGCAGGTTCGATCACATCGTACCGCCCTTCTGTATAGTATAAAGAACTGTGGTAACCCCAACCCCCAGAATGAGGATGCTACAAGAGAGTCATGGCATGGCTATAGAATCCTGATTTTGGAGGCTTAGATTTTCCCGTTCAGGGTTAATTGTTTTGGGCTTACAAATGGACTATGCGGCCCCTTTGGGAGTTCCACCTTGGGTCCTGCCCCCACCCATTAAGAGTCTATAATAGGGCTCTAATATTATATTATGAACATTATCCAACTGTCAGTGGGCGGGGGCAGTAGTTACCCAAGTTCGACCTCATTGGGAGGATCTTGCTCCAGGAGGAGCTCGCATAATCAAGAGCTGCATGGGCGCATTGCCATTCGGAGTTTCTCAAATTAGGGGCCAAAGGGATACAGAAGGGCTACTTACGACATTCTAGGGGTTCCAGTAGATTCTAAAGAGATTGCTTTCACAAACTTCCGGCCTCTATTGGTCCGTCCCCAAAAAACCCTGTGCGTGACGCGGCAGAATCTCAAGACAAAATCCTGTCCAAAGATTCACCACTCGTCGTAGCAAGAAGCTCGCCTATGAAATACATTAACCCTGAATGCTTAAAACATGGGCACAAGGATCATTGAATGTGCACGCATTGCTGATCATCAATGGCCGCCACAAGTTCAAGGACAAACATGGGCAACGACACAATCTGAAAGGGAATGACCTTTGCGAACATGCTTGCCTACGTATGTCTAGAGCAGGTCATGACCCGAACACAGACATGAGAAATAGATTTCCCTAGCTCAGCTTGTCATGGTTCATCGTCCTGCCCGCCGTATCTCGCGTCATGTGCGAGCTTCGGGTTGATGCACCTGAAGCGTCGCTTTCTGCGCTAAATCCAGGTTCGAGCTCCTATGATCAATAGGGGTTTCCCAAAATCAGGGATACCATTTGGGGGGTCCCCAAAGTAAGGATTATGATATTTTGCGGTCTATATTGTGGGAACCCCTATTTTGGGAAACTACCCTTAGGCCCCTGGCACATGAGCAGCAGCGGGCCATGGCCCGCAAGACATGCATGGCCAAAATTGTTCACAACCGTCCAGCGTCTGAATACTTAGCAAGATCATCTCTTCGGGTGCCTGTCATACGTATTACCTATTGTGCCACATAACCTTGGCGTAGTCATGCCGGCTGTTGTTTGTGAGGCAGAGCAATGATAAGGAATTGATGCGCGACCCCCAAGAATGGGCATCGTCCTCACACTGAAAGTGATGCCGGATCTTATATCTTTACCATGCAGATCCTACTCTCTTGAGCTGGAATCTGCTGGAGATGAGAGCAGGAACCCTGCAGCATCCCGTCTTTGAGATTACTAGGCAGAGCAAAAAAGTGCCCCAAATTTCAATCAGGGCCATATGCCAATCAGGCCCAAAGTAGCAGGCTCCTTGCTATGCAACGGCCCGAAAACAGAAGCCTCAGTTTAAAACAGGGCCATACTTGGATGATTACAGGACGTAGTAGCTAGCTATATATGTGTATGTACGCATATATATATATATACATATATGATATCTGTCTCTCTCTCTCTCCCTCTCTCTTTGCCTACATATTGCTGAATGAGGAGCCTCGCGGCACTTTGGGCTTTTGTACTTCCAGCTATATCTACTTACTGGCTACCCCTATCCTCTAGATGCATGTAGAGTCCGGTAGTTCTGTCTATGGTCATTGACGATTGCAGGGCTGCATCTGAAATTCAAGGGACAGTGAACATGCATGGTCAAGCATGAATCCTCCTGCCATCAGAGGCGTCCTGGGCTGATTGGGGATAGGGGAACAAGCCTTATTCTGCCCGTTGAGTTGGCATATCTGGACCTACTTGCGGAAGCAGAAGAAAGGCGTGCCTGCCCCTCAATTCCACCGGTGGTCCTCGTGATACGAGATTTAATGATCTCCGTCATCTTTTCTGCCATCTGGCTCTTCTCCGTTTGCATGCCCTGCTGGAGGCCTCTCTCACAAAGCCCTCAGAACCCCTACTTGGAGGGTCAGGGGGACTTATTAAGTAGGTTAATAACCCCTATAACCCATATAATAACCCTAGTTATCCCCGTTATTAGCCCACTTACTAAGTCCCCCTGACCCTCCAAGTACTATATACTACAATCCCTTTATGTGCCCCTAACCTCGGTTAATGTCTGGGACCGCAATCCCATGCCTGCATGATGAATACCTTCCCCACCCTGTAATAGTGGTATAATAGGAATATAAGAGGACCCGAATATAATCCCTATTAACCCGTATAGTCACTATTACTGGGTGAGGGGTGGACCTAATGAGTACCCCTGTAGAGAGTTTATCATCTTGCCGGCTGTCAATGCAGGGCGGAGGACTGGATCCGTATAGTAGTTTCTACATAACCGCGGACAGTAAAACAGTGTCGGGTTTTCTGTTCATTCCCCACTTCCCTGCGAACCACCAAAACCCCAAACTCTACATTAGCTCATTAGCTTCGATGTTCTTTCCATCCTCTACTAACCGCAGCTGAATCTTCAGAGGGAGGGGCCGGTCACGCCCGGTACCCTAAAGCCCTCAAACCTGCTAGTTTGGCAGCAGTCCTTGTATACATTCCCTGATACATAATAGTTGCAGTTTTCTTGTTCATGCCTTCATTCCGCGCGAGTGGGTCGCTTAAACCCTGAAACATTTTGAGCCCTAAACTTCTATAGAGGTCCCCTTAGGACAGTATCCCCTATAATACTCCCTGTATAACCAATCTTTAAGGGATTAGACTACTATAGCTTATATGGTAGGTTGTCAAAATCACGCAGCCTTGACACATCCTACATAACACCCAACAATTTTAGAAAGGGTTATATAGGGATACAAAGGAAAGCTATAGGGTTATATAGCGATACATATGGAGACATATAGGCCTTCAATTACCTGGTCCGTTCCTTGATTCCCCATTTACAACCAGCGAGTTGACTCTTGACCGCGCACCTAAGCACTTTATATCCCTGGTCATTTTCCAGCTGCTGCTCCACAGGACTTTCCATGTGATCTTCCCTTCCCTAAACCCTAAACAATTCTGCGCGGACCTTCAATTCAAGAGCACCTCATCTTGTTGGGGAAATCCGTGTCCCTTTGAAGGGATCCCAGGCATTCTAGACGGAAATGACCTGAATAAGGATTACAGCAGGGAATATGGTGAGGGATTGGAGCAGGACTAGAGGGATTTATATGCGAGCTTCTCAAATTCATGGATTCCCCTTTGGAGGAACCCTGATCTGGATTTCAACAAAGTGTCGGGTATGTGAGGGCGCCCTGCTTTAGAGACAAACCATTAGGTACCCGTCTGCACCCAAATATACCCTATTTTGCACAAATATCCTCTAAGATGCTCAATAACTTCCATGTACTGTAATCCCTTCGAGATCATAACCTTTATACTCAATCCCCAAATTGCAAGCCTCAGATTTCTCCAAAGCGACCGCCGACCACATGCGCGTGCTTCTTGTGAGCACGGTGGCACTTTGTCTTCTGCGCGTGCACACAGCCACAGACTCCTTAACGACCCCCCCAACCCCCCCAGCAGTCTGGAGGCCGGCAAAAGTTTTGGTAAGTAAGCACGCTGTTGATCCAGTCAGCATACGCAGAGACACGAACGAATATGTCTCGAAGCCCGGACTTGTGCGAATAAAGTCCAACTTGAACAGTCGTGCCATTTACTCGAAGGAGCATTGGCGCACCTTCGTCACCACAGCCCATGCCTCAACTCTTCTGTGAATGAATGGTTGATGCTATCAATCAGTCTCTGGCCTTTGACTAGAACTAATACGAATAGACTACAAGAAAAACATGAAACAGAATCCGTTTCGCAATTATCCCTCGACACCTGCTGATCCTGACTGAATTTCTTGCGTGCAGATGTGTCTGCCAGGCTCGAAGGGGCCCTTACCGCGGCCCAGTAGCGTCTGTAAGTAACAAGGCCTAGAGGATGCTATCTGCTTGTCACCTTCCTTGAGGACAGAGGGTTTGGGTCGCACTTTGCACTCGCTGTCCGCCGCGCCCCAGCCAGCAACAAGTGCCTGCTCTCCCACGTGTTCAACCTGCTGTTGCTCCAAGGTTGCCACTGGAACGCCGACCAGAGGTGTCATCAGATGAAAGATGGCGATATTGTCGCGATAACTCTCCCGGCTGAAGTTCCTGTATCTTTCAAAACCACTGGACAAAATACCCACACTGTTGTGCAAAGGCCAAATAGAAAAGAGTAAAGTTCTCCTAGCTGTTGGACAAAGAGGTTCCGATGCGTGTGGAGATATTGTGGCCTGGCAACGCGCCAGCCAGATGGTGTATGCAACCACACCGACAAGCGCTTCACCAAGCTGCTTTCCTCAAAGTTGTTATTCTGACTCTCCGGATACCAGCAAGAGGCTGCTGTCAGCACGTAGTTTTCATGGATCAACGTTCCGCTGCAGACTTGATGGTCATCTGGCGCTTCGAATCTGAATCACTGTTGGCTGGCATTTGAAAAGCTTGGTCTACATTCTTTGTCGGAAAACCACCTCGAAAATGTAACATGTTCTTAAGATGGACCCGGAAACACTAGGGAAACCAGAAATGGGTAAGATGTCGAATAGAGGTTCCAGTCTACTTCTCGATGCGACCCATTGTTGCCGTAGATGCGGTCTTCACTGCTGCAGCCAGGCGCGTAGATGCCCAAAACAGCGCAAAATCGCAACAGCATCGTATGGGGGCTTTCCTAAATTAGGGGTCCTGTGTGGGGGTCCCCATACAAGGATTATAGTATGTATTTGGGGTCTATAGTAGGGTCAGCTTATTTTGGGAGATTACCATATGGGGGCGTGAATACGTAGACTCAGGTTTTGAGGTGTTACAATCTACCGTACTTGTATAAGCGAACTCTGAGAAAGAATCTTACAAATCATCTAGACGTGGCCAGGCTCAAGACAACGGCTCCCCAGCAGTTACCAAGAATAACATGCACTACCTGCAAGGAGTCAACATGAATATGTAGAGTATATTATCAGACATATACATTGGTGATCTAGTGCATATAAACCTATGTTATTTAGACTTCGGGGGAGAGGATAGCAATAATCTTACCTAGAGCGGTTGTGATGTGCAAGCATCTAGAAAGTGCTGCCAGCTCTAATGTCATGCCTTCACATGTTTCTACTTGAGCCAAAGTCAAGTGCAATCACAGGGTTACGCATCAGATCGAAAGAAATGTCGGACCGAAATGGGAATGTCCTGTAATTTTCATAATCCTTTCATGCCCCTTATATAGAGTTTCCATTCCCTCCCGCAAGGGATTCCGCAACCCTCACAAAAGCCTATGATGTGAAGTTAAGTTGTGGTGAGACCTTCTTAAGGACGACATAACTTTTGAATGCATCAGGCCTTGCCCATGAGATGCCTTGACTCAAATAGACGTCAGACTGATGGCAAGATTTGGGTAACCCCAACCCTCGAAATCAGGATCCCATCATACTTACTGTATAGTACACGGTCCTGCTTTGAGGAGTTGAGGTAACCAATACCCCTTCTGTATCATGATCCGTCATGCAACACATGAAACAGGCACCAAGGGCAAAAACTGTAACAGAAACGCGTGAAGATGATGTCTTCGCAATCAAAATTGCGTTGCGCTATTCAGCTGGCTGACGTTTAACCGCTTTCCCACCCACAGCACCTAAGTCTCCATGGAAAACGAACCTACTTCGGACTTCTCTCGGGACGAACTACAGGAAACAATCCTTCATGATGCTTCCCCCTTTTGAGCTTGTGCAGATGCACTAACTGAAGTATAATGATTCACACCTACTGAAAACATTTACTAAGATGACTGTGAGCTCTATTTAAGGTACCCGATAACAACACCAGGAGTGTAAGACCATAATGCTGGGCGCTTAATGGGCGCATGTTGCTATGAAACTTTCACAGCTGGCATTGCAAGCATAATGCGCAGAACTGCCGGCCTTTGCCAGGGATAGTCTCCTTCCTTAGAACCGCCTTTCTCAGGTTAGGTGCCACCTAGGTACGGTGACCACAAGTCACAGGCGATGATCCTTATAATTCTTGTCATTGTGCCATTGCTGCATGGAGACCTAATCTGATGCCTACCCTGACAACATATGTTCCTGCATACGATGAAAGGGATATGTTCCTTCATACGATGACATGGATGTCTAGGAAGTTTGAATGCCTTTAGGAGGACGGTTCCATTTTTGGGGAGAGGTTCAAAACGTTTGCGATTGGACTTGTACAACGTCTGAGATCTTCTGCTCAGCCTTACAATCGCGGATGACAGAAGCTTGCACCACCTGCTTTATCCACATCACCCCGTCTCTCACCGCAACCGGTCATTGCATAATAAAGAAACCATGCGGTGGAGCAAGCTTATCAAGAAAGTCTGGAATTTAACGTCCGGAGCTTGCTCAACCGCAAATGGGGAAGAGTATCGCAGAGGATCATCTGCGAAATTTCCAGCTCCATTTATACACGAACATGTCCGTCGATTGAAAACCATTATCGTTCCTCCTGTCCTCTTGCTGGAAAGACGAGATGCAACTGAAACGGCTGAACGTGCCATCGCCCCCAGTGTCCTACTGGGCCAATCAATCTCCATCGGTTTTGCTGTCTTTTTGGGCACGGCTTTGCAACCTGGGCGAGGGCACAAGATGCTGCTGCCTGGTGGCTTTGGGAGGGACCACTACTGAGGACCCTTGTAGCTCACGAGGGGAAACATGGGGAACTGCCTGGGACTTGGGAGCCCTTTTACAAGGCTACATGGACTCAAACAGGAGTGGGGGGGTCGCCCAAACATGCCAAGCTAGTCCAGCTTCTGCTCCCTACTGAGCGAAAGTTGAAAGTCATGTTCAATCTGGCTCTGTGTCAAAGTAGAGCGACCCCAACTATACAGACCGCTGAGAATAAATTCGTCCTTGGTCTTACAGATTAAGGGGACCCCAGGATTTGTAGACCTTCTGCATACAAGCCATTTAAGGGAACAAACAAGACCTCAGAAGGATGAAGAATCAGTCCATGATCCGAATCAGGCCTCCGTATGCCTGTTCGAGGTCCCGCCTTCGGCGGAAGGATCACGGATGCGGAATCAGTTCCCCAAGCCGCTAATTCTGTCTCATCCTGCCTAAGAAATTCACCTGAGCAAAACTCTTAACTCCGAGTATCCCCCTGAATAAGCCCTATAATGGTCTCCTATATGACCCCTTTAAGGAGTTTAGACTACAATTCACCGAGGGGCAGGGTCGGCAACGCCGTCACTTCCACAGAAACGCTCGCGCTGGCTGAACCGCTGTGGCTCGCAGTCAGCTCCTGCACCAAGCTGCTGAAGTCGTGCTCAAACCTGGCAGGGTTTAGGGTTTAGGTTTTAGGGTTCAGGTTTTGGGGTTTAGGTTGTAGGGTTTAGGGACAAAGTGGGAAAGTCTTGGGTCAATGCTGCGCCAAGCAATGGCTACCACAAGGGAGTATTGTAGGCCTCTCAAAGCTCTAGTAACTCCATATTTAGGGGCTATTATTAATGTAGGGGGGATTAACCTATGGGATGTCTCAAAACAGAATATAAGGCTCCATCTTAAGGAGCTTCCAGAGATAGTTCTGAAACACTCCCACATCATAAGTGGGAAATGTCACCTGAAGAAACAGAAAAAAATGGTTCCCGAGCGTTCCTAGAAACTGCCGATGCATGGTTACCAGAGCATTACGGATAGACTCGCGCACGAATTTGTTCATTGTGTCAAAGCCCCCAGGCATTGCTTCGATGAGACCGTGAATCATGAGTCTGTCTCCTTCATCCAATGCTTGCCGTGAATCCGGAGCTCCAAGATGTAAACCCTGTAAAGCCCTTAAACGAACCCTAAACTGAGTCTGTCACCGGCATCCACTACTTGCCCTGAGCCTAATAAAAGCCTCATGGGCCCTAAACCCCAAACAAACTCTTAAAATGAGTCTGGCTCCTTCATCTGACGCTTGCGCGTTGCGGAGATCCAGCGCGGCTAGTCTCTTGGCAACAGCCATGGCAATGTCAGTGCCCGCCTGGCCTGATTTTTTCTCGAGATTCAGGTCCAAAATGGTTTCTAGAATACTGGGGTCACTTTACATACCACCCATACCGTACGATCCCCATGAAAGTGACCCCAAAATAGGGGGACTCCCTAACTCCGAATGCAATCGACTCCTTTTATAAGGACCCCCAGGCTACGTACCCATTCGCTTCAGAAATCCCCACCTTGTTGGAGGACCCCTGTGGAAGTGCAGAGCAAAAGCCCTGCAAACCGGGCGTTCTGCGCTGACAGAAGGATTGTCTGATAGACCTCAAAAAGGCACCAAATGCGCTGTAAAGGCAAGGCCTCTTCGTCGAGTATCATGGCAGTACCCAGGCAATTGGGGCTTCTCAACGCCAAGTAGAAGGAGGACTCCTGCCACCGACCGTTCCCAAGCTCCAAGGGTACCTCCCACTGATTGTTGCTGAAAGTGCATATCCAATAGGCCGAGTCTCGCCAGGTGTCTTTTGCGTGGGCAAACCCGTGCTTGCACACTGCCCCCACGAAATGCTGCACTGGTGTACCCCAGTAATGAGACACAAACCAGTTGAGCTCACTGGGGCCGATGAGCTCCGCGAAGGAGAGCTTCACTGGCTTCGTCAAGGGCATCACGATGTTCGAGCAGACGTAGTACATGGATCGCTCTCGAATGAATTCTCGGAAAAAGTCCAAGAAGTCTCGGAGCTTCCCTGCCGTGATCGCTCGAGGGGCTCCGCGCTCACACCGCTTGGGTTTTGGGCTTGAGGTAGACCATGTGTGATGAAATTGACGATGTCTCTTCACCATTGGTGTGCGCTGGCCACGCATCCATGAGATGCCATAGCAAACACAACCCAAGAAGGCACTCAAAAAACTGACAACAATAGCCATTGGCAGCGTCAGCCGAGAAACACAAGCAGCGCCAGCAACGAAGAAGATGAAGGACCACAAAATCAGTGGGCAACGGAAGAGGCCAAGACTCACGAAGGCTCGGGGAAAATGGATACGAACATATCCCATGGACGTGTCCAAGGGACACTTGATTGCGCTGGAGGGCATGAGCAGCAGCTGCTCGTTGCCCATTGCCTGGACTCGGAAAGAAGGCTTGGAGCGCTTGGCATCCACCATGGGCACACCTGTCTGCCAAAAGGTTTATAGCGATCCTGCTGCCGCAGGATGCTTCTAATTTCTAAGGTCCTATAGAACCTGGGATGCTTTATGAGAGGCTGTTCTAATCCTATGGCAGTTCCATTCCCTGTGCCTAATTACTAGCGGTTTGCATAAGCCTTCCAGAACGAACCCCATATTACCCTAAACCCCATATAACCCCATATAATCCTTAACCCCAAACCCTAGATAACCCTATGTAACCCTACATAACCCTACCTGTGCCAGCCAAACTGACCAGAGGAGATACCCACTTCCAGGGCAGGACGCGATGCAGGCCAGATGTTGTCACTACGAAGTCGCTGCCCTGAGAGGACAAATCTGCAATACGAATGCGGCCATGACAGCCTGCTAAGACTGAGATAAAGAAGCCCACAAAACTCCTGAGTTATGCTTTCAACCCTCTCAAGACGTTCTTTGTGTTTCGACTTACAAGCAAAAAAGGAGGACCACTAGTAAAAGATCCCACAGCTTGACCCAGACTCACGCACGACACAACCACGAACATTATGTC